ACTGGCCCTTGAGCTGTGCCCTTTAAGTGGCCTCACTTGCCTGTACGGGTGGGCACCCACCAGCTTGTGACACAATTTTGGGTTCACGTGAAGTGTTCACAAGTCCCAAGTGCTGAGTGGAGAACAGCACCAGTGGTTTCTACACAGGCCCGCCTATCTGCTTCTCTCCCCAGTGTGTGGAATGTCAGCCCGCACAACCGGAGGTCGTATATATGGAGGGCAAAATGCAAAGCTTGGTGACTTTCCTTGGCAAGTCCTGCTACTGGGCGACAACACAATAGCAGCAGGGGCGCTTCTGTCTGACAACTGGATCCTGACGGCGGCTCATGCTGTCTACGAGCAAAAGGACGCCGCCTCCTCCCTCAACATCCGGATGGGCGCCCTGAAGAGACTGTCCCCTCAGCACACACAAGCCTGGGCAGAGGCCGTGTTCATACACGAAGGCTACAGGGATGGCGCTGGGTTTGATAACGACATAGCCCTGATCAAACTGCAGAACAGAGTTGCGGTCAACAGCAACATCATGCCTGTGTGCTTGCCGGGAGAAGACGCCGAGTCCCTCATGAGGACCGATACCACTGGAACTGTGTCCGGATGGGGACTAACCCAGAGCGGCTTTCTTGCCAGAAATCTACAGTTTGTCGAGGTACCAATTGTGGATCCTAAGAAATGTGCCGCTGCCTATGCCAAGAAGCCGCTGCACCCCCAGGTAACCGACAACATGCTGTGTGCGGGCGTGGAGAGCGGGGGCAGGGACAGCTGTGGAGGCGACAGCGGGGGGGCCTTAGTGTTTCTCCACAATGAGACGCACAGGTGGTTTGTGGGAGGAATAGTATCCTGGGGCTCCATTCACTGTGGGGCAGCACAAGTGTATGGGGTCTATACAAAAGTCATTAACTATATTCCCTGGATCAAGAGAATAATGAATAACTTTTAATTTGTATGTTTTCAATCAGTAAATAATTCCTTTAAAAAAATGCCTATAAAAGATCTCAGCAGCAATGTGACCCGGGAAATAGTAGCCCAGCCATTGTGGCCCCAAAAATCAAAACCCACCTCCAGCGAGAGACTGGCCAGTGTGTCCCCCTTTCCATTCGGTTCCAGGGGCATAAACACAGCGATGCTCGTTGTTGCTGGAGCAACAGAAACGCACTGGTCAGGGCTGCATCGCATTACTCACAAAGCCCAGTCAGTATCTTTCCGCACTGGCTTTTTTATAATTGTGTTTTTGGAAATTGCCTGTGCATGCTCGTTGAGTATTTTTCGACTTATTCTTACTCTGTGAGAGCTTTATACATTACAGCAGTACTGGTTGAGGATAACCTTGAATCATGGACTTTTGCAGATGAACTGGAAACATCAATACTTTGGCCTAGGTACTAATTTCCATGTTAAAAACCAGTATCACAAAAACAGTGATATAATTTTGCACTTATCAATTTGGTAGACAAAAATGAACACGGAATAGCACTATTCACATTGTCAAAGACAACAAAGATTTTCTAAAGGAAAAATTTGCAATGTATTTCAAAAGCCTTAAAAACATGCAATCTTAACCTAGTAATTCCAATGCTAAGAACTTAAGTCAGGCATGCTCCGAGCACTTAGAATTACCCTAATTAATGTTCAAATCCAGAAGACAATGGAATTGAATGTGGCGTTTCCATAAGATGAACTATGACACCGGAAGTAAACGGTGATATTATAGATAAACCCGTATTTTTTTTCCTTCTTACAATGAGCATGTAAAACAGTGTCACACTCAGCCAAACAACAGACCACAGATCACACAATACCTAAGTACAGAACCCGGATACATAACTAAGAGCTACTGTCCTAGTACTCAACAACAAAAAATTCTAATTATCACATACATCTTCCCAATTAAGTGGTTAACTTCTTTTTCCTAAGGGCAAGATTTAAGCTCCGACTTAACCTTAAAAATAATTCATTTTAGTTGGCTAGTCCTTCCTAAAAAGTTTTAAGAGCTAACATCTAACAAAGCTTTTCATTCTAGCCAGTTACCGTTGTATTTAAACATTCATTGTGAGTTTTGTCCTAATTTCTCTTGTGCATATAAAGTGCAACTTCTTGAGACTCACTTTTCAAGGTAACTTTACAGCATTTTTGTCACATATAAAAAGGAAACTGTTTTCCCAGTAAGACTCCAGACACTAAACTGGTGGCAACAAAAATTTTTATTCAACTGGTTCAAAAAAATGTTTAGAATGAAAGCAGTTAGATGACCAAATAGATGTTAAAAACAAATCTTTGCCAAATAGTTTACTTCTAAACTTCAAAAAAAAAAAAAAATTTAGGATAGAATTAAAGGCCCATAGCTATGTATTATTACCACAAACATATTAACCGAAGGCTACTCAACATTGAAAGCCTTCTAAGACCAATGACTAGATTTACACAAGTGTAAAGAGGGATTAAAACCATGCCATTGACAAGGTAACTTACCCCTGGGCTCCTTGAAGGCTTGTCAGTTTAGTCTTTGGAGGTCCCCGAATACCATTTTAAGTGTTATCATGTTACTGCTGCTGAGTAATAGTGCAAGTGCTAAAATGCAAAATTCAGATGGTACAGGGTTTGGAAATCATGCAATTTAGATGCAGAAAAAAAAATTTAAACAACCGCAAGATCCTTTTACAGAGGAAACTGAATGAAACAATGCGGGGGTCACAAGTCTAAAGGATGACTTCACTTATAAAAGTTTAAAACATGTAACTTGCAAAAATCCTATTTATCATAATCTAATTAGATAAGGGCATTAGGTAAACTATCAACACAAGAACTGTTACATTCTTCCATTAGAAAACAAGCTCAACTCTCATAGCAGTAGTTACATAAAAAGTACAACAATCCATATATTATTGCTTTTACATACTTAACAATGCATCGTGAGAGTCTAATCCGAGTTTTGTAAACGATTTTATTCGGCATGACTGCATTACCCCCACCTTGGGAGGGCCAAGCCCATTTCACTGAACACTTTCACAGACAACCCACCACACCCGGCTAGTTCTTAAAGCTATCAAGCTTAATGGATTTCAGGCACAAGATAATTTGTGGTTTCTTCTACTTTTATCCCCATTGCAATTAATTCCACTTTTCAAATACCAAACTCAAAAGGTGCTACTATTCCCTTCCAATTGATATGCTTTGCTACAAAGCATTTAAAAAGAATTAACAGTTTTGCCCACTCCCCCAATCAGATTTTTAGGAGGCACGATTTCCCAATGGAGATTTAACAGGCCATGTAAACAGAACATCACCCAATGCACAGAGGCACTAAGGAAAAGCCGGAGCGTACTGCTTACCATTTTAGGTGCGGTCACCCAGACTTATTAAAAACTAGGTTTAAAAAGAAAAAAATACAAAACTTTTCACTTTGGACAATGCAAGAACAAATAGCAATTAAGTCTGGGTATCAGGTGTCAATACATGACAGGTGATGAATCCATTTGACTTGAGACAACTTTTCAAATAAGTTTATTTGAAGCAAAATAAACTATTGCCAAGAAACTTTATGAAAGTTCCATCTCAAAAGGGTCAAAAAAGGGGAATTAACTGCTATGAATTCTTTGCATTCAGGGCTGCAAAACAAAGACACATATTATTTAAATCAGTTTTATTTAAGAATTTCCAACATTGACAACTCTTATAAAAAGCATCCAAGCACAGGACACAGAACTGCAGCAAACAGCATTCTTAGGGGTAGCTAACAGACATGAGAACTTCCACCCTTCCGTGAGACACCCCAGCTCACTGGTGACTCTGCGTCCAAGTACTCCCGCAAAGCACACCACAAGCTCAGTCCATGTTCTCAACCCATCAGCTTCAGTTCACATGGCCACACTTACAGATCAGGAACAGAGGAGAACACACACCATACGGCATTCACAGCAGTTGACAAGGGGGTAGGGGAAATACAAGTATCGTTTCACTTAACACATTCAACTAATGAGGGTTATCTAAGAACAAAACTCACTTCAAGTCTTCCAACAGATGTGGATGTCCTTTGAATGCAAGAACATTCGTACGTTATTTGCTATCATTGCTCTCTGCACACTCTCTCACCAAAGCCACAGGATGGAGAGACACATCTCGCCAAGTTAAAAAATATCCATTTTGCACCACTGTCTCTGCACGCGCTCTCTCCTGTTCTCGCTCATACTAGCCTTTCATGCCTCGGCACCACCATCAATCCCACACAAGGTTTCAAAAGTTCAAACAGCCTTCTGGTTCCATATCACAGCCTTGCGTTCACAGCGTTGATACTCCATGAAATAAAGAGTAGCGGATAAAAATGGGACACCCACCGTCAGAGACGCAGCCTGTGCAGTGTGATGACGCAATCTTGGATGAGAAAGCACGTAGACAGAAGTATTCCTATGGCAGAATTTTTACAGCACTACTTTCAATAAGTGCTTCTTCCATAAACATTTGAAATGAGATGAACTGCAGAGATTAAATGAAGGCTTCATATTGTACTTTTGCATATGAAGGGAGACAAGTGTTAAAAAACAAAAACAAAAGAACCAAACACTGTGACACCATGATCTCCAAAAAGGAGACCTTCCTAAGGAAAAAAATCCATGTGGTGGGGTTCAAATGAAAAGAAAAGAATGTAGTTCTAATTAATGGCTTCCATTTTGAACATGCAAAGAATTCACTTGACGAGTCCAGGGATAAAATATTACAGGAGAAACCTTTTGATATCAATTGTAGTGTGTTGGTTTACCAATCAGGCAAACAGCAGTTCACTTTCAAACACTCAGTATTTCAACCCTTTATGTAACAAAACTTATAAAATTCCTTTAACTCTTCCTCTTTTTCTAAAGAAAAATGTCAAAAATACTGCTGAATATACTCCACACTGAACAAACCAATTTGGAAAATTCTTAGTACATATGTATTTTACAATATACTTACCATGAGTTTAGAAAAATTTGAATTCCCACCAGTCTATACAACCAACCGTCATCCACTGTCTACATTCCCCAGCTGGAAGGTTTGGAATCCATGCTTGAGCCAAAGCCTCCGTTAAAACCACTGCCTGACCCTGCATTGGAAGCTGACCCCCAGCCAATCGCCGCCCCTGAATTGGAACCACTGTAGGAGTTATTTCCAGACCCGAAGGCCTGATTCGGCTCTCTCTGCATGTTGCCCTGGCTTTGGTTGTTACCTGATGGGCCTGACTGGTTCTGCTGACTGGCTAGCATGCCCATCATCCCCCAGCTGCTCTGCAGGGCTGCCTGGGCTGCAGCCATCATGGCTGGATTGATGCTGAAAGCGCCGAAGTTCATCCCTCCACCCATGTTGCTACCCTGGTTATTTCCCAAGCCAGCTCCGCCCCCCCTGCTGTTCCCGAAGCCACCCTGATTCCCAAAGCCACCTGGGTTCCCACCGAACCTTCCGCTCCTCTCTAACTGCCTATTGCTATTGTGCTTAGGCTCAGCATTGGATATATGTACGCTGATTCCTTTAATGATCAAGTCCTCGCCACAAAGAGACTGGGCCACCTACAAGAAAATAAGGGTGTAAATACAGGCGATTAAACCACTGACGTGTACTTCAAAGGAGCAATAAAACTTAGCTTTCAAGCCATTATCTACACTGAAGGAGAAATAAACAATCAATGCTCATTTCATTTAAACTCAAATAGCCGTTAGCTTTAGTAATGGCAGGAAGAATTTTTCAGTTTGCTTTCTAAAGATGTATAACACTCTTGGTTAAACACCACATACTGATAAGTATTAAAATGTTTATCACAGATATCTAGGTCCATATACCTTGCCCAGCTTAAAAGGTCAGAAAGCTTAGTTACGGATGGCAATTAGCTGGATGGGGATGTTCAAATTACACATTAGCTGGGATAGAAGTTTTAAAGAGAAAAATACCTGGTCATCTGCAAATGTGACAAAGGCAAAAGCCCTGAACGGCTTGGGGATGAAGACGTCCACCACCTCTCCGTACTGGCAGAAGAACTGCCGCAGCTCGTCAGCCGTCATGTCCTCCGTACAGCGCCCAACGAACACCTTCCTGCTTCTCAGGGGCTCGTCTGGGCTTTGCTGAGCAATTCAAAGGCAGGAGAGACAGTCAGAAATATTTTATGAGAATGGAAAAGGCATTGCGGTGGAGGATGTAACAGAACCTCGCTGTCTTGTACCTCAGGAGAGTCATTAAAATAAGCACATTTTATTTTTTTGCATTAGCACTCCTCCTCGTAAGACTAAGATGACAAATACAGTTTTAAGCTCATGAAAGTTTATTTGGATCTAGAAGAGTCAATGACTAATCAATGTCCTGCAAAATGATAATAAAGTTCCAAATAAGCAGGTCTTGCCTGGAACAAGTTGGGCTTTCCCAACAAGGTTACTACAGTCGGATCATCTTCACGTTTTAACATGTAACTATGTAAGATTGCTAACCAAGTTTAGTTTAGAGGGATAGTAAACTAAATATTATTATATTCAGCATGCATTATAAAGTATTAAAATATCTAGCGTGCATTAAGGTCCCAAGGCTTTAACCAGCCAAGAGGTTCTAAGAAAACATCCTGACACTCCCTTCCCAAGCATATTTAACATTTTTTTTTATAGTGTCTTCTATGGGAAGTTTGTCAGCAAAAGTTACCAAAGCAGAAATAGAAAAAGCACAAAAGGGAAGAAATAAAAAACGCAAAGTACCTTAGAATTAGGAAGTTTACAGTCACACCATCGTCCGTCTATCATATGTCTCTGTGACATTACTTTCACCTGGGTTTCATATTCCGTAAATCGAACAAACCCAAACCCCTTTGAATGACCAGTTTTAATATCTTTCTTGACCTAGGGGGAAAAATCATTTAAATTTACTAAAACAACACAGACACATAACCAAATGGAAAGTTCTTTGACAATGTGAATGGCTTCAATTGGATGCAGTGGCTTAATTACAACTTGGGCCAAGAATAAAACCCCAAGAATAAATCTATTTTGAGTTTAGATCCTGTTTATATCAGAGTAAGACTGTTATATATTATAATTTCAACAAAATGTTTTAGAATGCAAAGATAAATTAGATCTAACGTTTACGAATCTTAAATTAAAAACACTGTCTGTGGACAATGAAGGGCAGAGTTACTAAAACAGGAATTCGGGGGCTCATTCCCCCAGAAAGAGGAAAGCTGTTAATGAAACCCAAGCTTACCTGCACCATGAGCACTTCTCCGAAGGTACTGAAGTATTCTTTCAGGTCCTGCTCCGTGGTTTTCCACGGCAGACCCAGCACTATCAAGTCAGATGTCTTCTGGACGGCTCTTTTCACTTTCACTGCTGACGAAGCATCTGTTTCGTCCATTTTCCTTTTGTTATCTAAACAAAAGAGCAGAAACCTTTTAGAACTCTCATGTAACACGTCTCAGAACACGCTGCCTCCTACGTCTAGAAGTGAGAAGCGAAAAGATCCTAAGAACATAAACATGTTTCAACTTTTGGCAAAGAGTAAGGTCAAGACAGAATAAAGAAGGATCGAGTGCAAATCCAGGGAGTGAGACCTCTGGTTCTGTAGTGTCATAAGATTACAAATATATATTCTCTCCTCTCTGAAGGCATGTCAAAACCTAATTCTACTTCACTCTGACTTTGAAATACATTGGGGGGGGGGGGGGAGAAACAAAACAGGTTAAAAGAGAGTAATTAGCCAAAACTGGTTTGGCTCAGTGGTAGAGCGTAGGTCTGCGAACTGAAAGGTCCTGGGTTCGATTCCGGTCAAGGGCATGTACATTGGTTATGGGCACATCCCTGGCAGGGGGTGTGCAGGAGGCAGCTGGTCGATGTTTCTCTCTCATCGACGATTCTGGCTCTCTATCTCTCTCCCTTCCTCTCTGTAAAAAATCAATAAAATATATATTTTTTTAAAAAAGAGTAATTACCATCTTTTTGCCTGTTAAATGTATTTAGAATGCCTATAACTTCTGTGTTGCAGCATACAATGCCTAAAGGCTATCTGCCAAAAAATAAAAATTGGCAACTTTTATTTCTAGGTGTAGACATAGGGCGATTTCAATTTTCTAAACTTTCAATAATAAAGGCACATCGGTTTTTGTAATATTAAAAAACCTTAGGTTATTTTTAAAAAGCAAAATTATAAAGGCAAGAGAAGAACTGAATGAAAAATTAAAAAAAAAATCAGACATTTTTGAACAATTTTAGGTTCACTGCAAAACTGAGAGGCAGGCAGAGGTTTCCCATACACACAGCTTCTCCCACCAACACCCCTCCCATGCTGATACATTGTTACAAATGAGGGCCCTACCGGATAGTCATTGTCTACACAACATGGTAACATCTGTTCCCATATTTAAGTAGTTTTCACTTTTACAAAAAGTTCTGTAACTTGCAGTTTCCACTCATTTAAACCAGTGGTCTTCCAAACTAGTCTGATAGTAACATTTAAAGAAATACGTGGGTTACAGGCGCCATCTACGATGCACAATGAGACACAAACACGACTGGACTTGAGCGTCACCGCCGCAAAACCAGGTGGCCACGCACCTTTGGGGTAGTTGACAACATACACCAGGTTTCCCCAGCCAGCGTCCGGGGCATGCAGAATCCCTTCCACCAGCCGCACGCCCCGCATGCACTGGGACACGGGGTTGCGGTAGCGCAGCCCGCACGCCCCCGGAAACTGGGCCGTGACGGTGGACAGCAGCACCGTCCCATCGTCTTCCGAGGGGATTTCAATGGGCTCGTCGTTCTCATCTTCCGTTACCCGGATATACTCCGACATCTTCTGTTTTTCTTAAATGGAAAAAAGAGAGAGAGGAGTGACTCACACGTGTGTCAAAAGGAACCCTTTCCTTATAACCAGCCGATGAGTTATCACTCCCCCCCGCCATTGTCCTAGGACTTCCAGAAAAATCCTTGCTGTCTGGGTTCTTATACATGTTGGCTATCCCTGAAACTAAATATTTAGGAGGCAAAGATGGTAAGTCCTATTAAAATGGGATGCCCCGTTCGCTCATTCATTCCATGAACATCTGCTGAGTGCCTACTATGCATCTGGTGCTGCAAATGGGAAGCCCGTGGTTTCGGGCGGCATGCTGGTGACAAGGGGTGCGGTAAGCAGGAGGAAGGTAGCAAAGGAGTCACTATCTTATTGCAATCGTGATGGGTGTCCTGGAGAGCAGTCGATGGCGTGGGTGGGAGGAGCGGGGCGGGGGGGAGGGGAGGTCCGAAGTCGATTCCCTAAGAAGCTGAGTCTCAGGACCGATCGGGCGCAGGGAGCCGGGTGCAGGGGACACACAGGGGAGAAGTCCTCTCTGTTCCTCATCCTGGGACTTCGGGGATCTCCCAACTTGAGCCCCAAAGGCAGCGGCGGCGACAGGACCCGAGCGACGCGGGCCGCGGCCTCCCAGAAGCCCGTGCGTGACAGCTGAGGTCCCGGCAGCGCGGCGCGGCCCACGGGCCGCAGGCGCCGGGCCTGAGCGGGCAGTGCCCCCCGGAGGGCACAGTCCCGAAGGCACCAGGCGTTGCCCGGGTGCCCAGGCCGGGACAAACCTCGGCTCGGGCTGCGCGTCCCCGCTCCGGCCCCGCTGACAGCCGCGCCAGGCCGGGCGGGGGCCGCAGCCGCTGAGTCCGTCCCCGGCCCACCCGGGCCGGAGCCGAGGCTCCCGGGCCGTCCTTAGAGAGAAGCGGCCTCGACTCACCCGCTAGGCCGCTGACAGGAGGCCCGACAGGAAGAGTCAAGAAGCCGGGGATCCGGGAACAGCCCAGCGACCGCTTCGCTCCCACAAAATGGCGCTGGGGCCGCCTCCTCCGCCCGACGGCCGTCGCCGCGCCCACGGCTCCCCGGCTGGAGGGGGAGCGCGCCTTTCGGAGACGCCACGACCCGCTCCCCGGGGAGCGCGGTTTCCCTCCTGGGAAGCTTAACAGATATAGAGAATATAAAAGCTAGAAATAGATAAATACCTGTGTCTAAAAATCTATAAAACTGGAAAATATGGATGCGTAGGTTTGTAATTCCCCTCACATAGCGGGACAGATGGTATCTCCCAACCAACCGCCGGCCGGGGTGCCGGCCGGAAAGTGCGCGAGACTAGCGAGCGCGGGGCGGGAGCCGCGAGGGGGCGGGGCCGGCGGGGCGGACCGGGGCCTGGCGGGCGGGGGGCGCGGGGGGCGGGGTCCCTGTGCCTCCGGGCTTTCGCGCTGCTCGAAGGGCAGGGGAGGCCAGGACCCTCTGGCTACGAATCGAGCTGCCCATGTCCCCTTCGCCCTCCCATAGCCCCGCTCCAACCTGGAAAGGATAACTTTTCCCTAATAGCAACGATAGCGCCTGCTCTGTACCAGGCGCCCTCTGAGTTCTGTAGCACTTATTCCCCCTCGTCCTGGGAGGTGAGTACTTGTAATGCGATCCGCACGTGCCGGAGGGGAAACCGAGGCACAGAGAGGTGAAGGATCACGTCTAAGGTCGCCCAGGTGGTGGGTGGGCTTGGGATTTGAGCCCTAAGCCTAATGCTAATGTATTTCCACTCCAATCCTCCAATGTCTCTTTGTACTTCACCCATGTTAAGACACACCTGTTTGTTTCACATTTCTTTCTTTTTTTAAATTGTTTTAAAAAATATATATATATTCTATTGACTTTTTACAGAGAGGAAGGGAGAGGGATAGAGATCTAGAAACATCAATGAGAGAGAAACATCGACCAGCTGCCTCCTGCACACCCCCCAGAGGGGATGTGCCCGCAGCCAAGGTACATGCCCTTGACCGGAATCGAACCGGGGACCCTTCAGTCCGCAGGTTGACGCTCTGTCCACTGAGCCAAACCGGTTCCGGCTGTTTCACATTTCTGAAACCAATATGTGTTTCCATTGATGAGGTGTCCTACTTGAACTGGGAGCAGTTTTAATTCCGTGGTGTGTGGATGTATCAGCTTCCGTGAGATGCAGGCACACCCAGGTACTCTACATTGATGCATTAACTCATTCGATTCTCAGAGCAACGCTATGACGTCCATGCCACTGATAGCATTCCTGGTTCATGGATGAGGAAATCGAGGTGCAGAGATTAGGTCGCCCTGCCCACGCTCACAGAGCCAGTAAGTGGTGGAGCTGGGATTTGAACCAGGCTCTGTAAGAGGTGCCTCCTGCTTCTTACAGCCTCCTAGGGAGTCAGTATTAAGTCCTTCAAGTCCGTTCTGATGCCTGCCGTTCACGGTAACCAGATTGGGAGGACAGAGTGGAGGCATTCAGAATGGATGACCTTCCCCTGCCCCCTCAGGGGTCTCCCTGCATCTAGGGGACATGGTTGGACAGATGGCCCGTGGCGGTCACTCATGTTTCAAAACATTGGCCAAAGCAGGGAGGTCTGTGTCATCTCAATCCACCCATTTGTTTGATGGAAGAAGTCAGGCTTGTGATCTGCATTTTTTCAGAAGAAACTGAGGCTTGGAGGCCATGGGCCTTGCCTGAGGTCACATACTTACCCAGAAATGTCACCTCGCTTGTGAATTACTGTCCCAGCTTTGTCAGACCCTGAAGCTCCGCTCCCTCCACCTCCCTGGGCTGTTCTCTGTGACGAGACTGAGGCTGAGCATTCCGTGCGGGCAGCTCTGTGGGCCTCGGATGCCCGCTGCAGTGGGCAGAGCTGGGCATGCGGAAGCTGGAGAAGGTCACGCAGGGACAAAGCCACTGAGGCCGTCCCTTCTCCCAGAAGAGCCCAGGGGAGTGGGGGAGACCAGAAAACCCAATCTCGAGGATGTACTATTCTTCAGGAAGAGAATCAGTAAGGCCAGAGGGAGACTCCCGGCCGAGTGCTTCCGGCTCTCAGCTTACGGTGTTGATTGTCAAAAGTCCTCCTTGTTTGGAATGTGTTGTGTGAGTCCTCGTGGCTTGTTTGCTTGTTGGTTCATATCCCTTCCCCGTTAAGCCCAAAGATTGTTAGAGGGCCCAAAGTGTCTGTTCTCGCCCACTCCTCTCTTCTGGGCACTGGTCGGATGCTTTGTGAAGATGATGGGTCAGGAAGATTTTGCTGAGGTCACACGCCTTATCCAGCGCTGTGCTAAAACGCCCGTGTGAAGACGGACAAGGAAAACCAAAGCCAGCCGCGGATGGAGTGGTCTAATCCAGAAGGAAGTGGGCAAAGGGAACAATTGGAAAACAGTCCCAGGAGGCATAAAGCACGTGAGTGCCGTGTGGGTCAGATGTCGGCCATCAGGTCTGTCTGTGCACCTCATAGTGACTGGTCGTTCTGGTCGAGTGGTCGTTGTGATTGCTCTGCCCTTAGAGTCAATTTGCATATTACCCTTTTTTCATATAGGATAATTATATAGGATCTCTCTCTCTCTTTCTCTCTCCTTCCCTGAAATCAATAAAAATATTTTAAAAAGTATCTATTGATGACTCTTGCTGAATTCACTATTACTAGGATGACAAAATGATGATTTTCTGGTTCTCTATGACAATTAATATGTTTAAACTTTTAATTTTGAAAAATTTCAAACTATGACAACATTGGGTAACAGTACAATGAACATCAGCATAGCCACTACCTTAATGCAACACTTGTTACTGATTTGCCATATTTGCTTTATCTATTTTTCTACCTACCTATCTGTCCCTCCCTCTATTTTTTGCTGAACCATTTCAAAGTAAGTTGCAATGGTCATGGCATTTCACCCCTAAATACTTCAGCCTGCATCGGCGAAGAACAAGGACATCCTCCTGCCTACTCACATCCAAAACACTGAACCGTTATTTCCTAATATCAAGTCCGTATTCAAATTCCCACAACGATTCCCCAACATGTCTTTATAGCTATTTTCTTGAACCAACATCCAATTACATTTCACATATTGCATTTTGTTGTTATGTTTTTTTTTAATCTTTTATTTTTATTTTTATTTATTTTTAAAATATATTTTTATTGATTTTTGTACAAAGAGGGAGGGAGAGAGATAGAGAGTTAGAAACATCGATGAGAGTGAGTCATCGATCAGCTGCCTCTTGCACACCCCCCACTGGGGATATGCCCGCAACCAAGGTACATGCCCCTGACCGGAATCGAACCTGAGACCTTTCAGTCCCCAAGCCGACGTTCTATCCATTGAGCAAACCGGTTTCGGCTGTTTTTTTAATCCTTTAAATTCTAGAACCATCTCCCCATCCAAGATGTGGGCTTTTTAAGAACACTGGACCAGATAGCGTGTGGAATGTTAGCCATCCTGGATTTGGTCTGATGGCTCCTCGTGGCATCATTAGTTCATGCCTTGCCTCCCTGCTTTGCCTGCGTCCTGTAAGTGAGGTCGAAAGACATGATCACATCAGGTTAGACACGATGGCCAGAACGTGGTATGGGTGAAGCCGTGTGCATCTCAATGCACCCCATCAGGATCACGAATGCCTGGTTGTGTCCCTTTCAGCAAGGCTAAATTTGCTCTCTTGGTTAAGATCCCTCCACAGAAAAGGTATATTTTTCCTCTGTATAATTTGCAAGTAATCTTGGATGATGCTTTGGCACAAATCCTGTCTCCCTACAACCGTTCACCCTTCCACTTCATGCTTTCAGCATCCACCAATGGTCCTTGTCTGATACCGTGGGGGTTGCAAAATAGCAAATTTTAAAATCCTACAATTCCTTCTACATCCTTTTGTAAAGAAGAACTCCAGTCCCCCATAAATGCTTAACTTCTTATAGTTCTTTAAAAGTAAACATTTGAATATGTGCATAGTATCCTATTTTATAGGTTTCTCATAATTTATTAAATCAGATCTCCCGTTTTGGGATATC